AGCACCACCATGAGAAAGGGACTTCAGGTGTCTTCTCTCTGGAGGCGGCTTTGAAGGTGGTTAAGATCTAGGTTCTGCAGTTAGACTGCCTGGGTTCAACTCCCAAATTTGCTGTTTGCTGGCTTTGTGGTCTTGGTGATGGTTCTTGTTTTTCCCGTGGGTGCTGTCTGTGTCCCACCCGTATAAGTCTCCGCCATCTGAGTCCTTCATGCAGCTGTGACTGGGCAGACCGTCCCCAGCCACTGGCTCTGTGCTGGCACTCATGGTGGGCTCCGAGCAAACGCGTTGGTGAGTGGACAGCTGAGCTAGAGACGGATGGCTCTGTGGCCTGTGCTCCATGCCCCATCGTGCCCCTTTCTCGAGTGGAAAGATGCTGCAGTGGCCAAGGTTTGTAATGCTCCACAGGAGCCTGCTTATCTGTTAGGCAGACCACATCCCTTGTCTATTGTGGGATTTTGGGTGACCTTTTTGCCAAAATCACCCATGTGTTTTCTTTCCCTAGACAAAAGATACAGGCTGTCTCCACCTATAATTAAGACAATAAGCCACGAACTACTTAAGTATCTCACTGTAAATGTGGTTCTAGAGGGCGATTTTCTGAAGATCCAGATCACTAGGTGCAGCCATAAGCACAAGGAAGCAGGAGAGAAATATGCATGAGTAGTGAAACTGGGGACAGAGGCGGTCCCAGAACTTGGGTCTACTGTGGCTGGGGAAGTGTTGGGGGAAGGTTTCAGCTGCAGGGGTGAGGTTCTTTCTCAAGCCAGGTGGGAACGCCTAGGTTTTATGTTTCATTACTAATATTTTGTGTGTTTCAAGTATTAATAAACTGAAAGCAGGAGGGATGGCAGAAAGCAGACAACACTTGGAGCACTAAATCAAGATGCCACTTGGTGGCATAGCTTTGCTTTGTCCGTGCTTCTGCGCCACAAGTCAGGTCCATGCCTGCCTCCTCCAGCTTTGACATCAAGGACAATGAACTTGTCAGTGGAGGTCAAAGAGCAAAAGGAGAGTGTTTCTCGGTTTTCTTCTCTATTCCAAGAGGGAGGAAAAAAGGCAAAGGTTGAATTGTGAAGTTATTTCAGCACTTATGCCTGGCACAGTCTGGTTTGAGGAAAGCAGGAGGTGGGAGCTGCGTTATTCCTCAGGCCAGTGTTTCTGTGGCTGTCTTCTCTCTAACCAACCCTACACCTGCCAACGGGAGTCAAGACGCAGAGGCCTTTCAAGAAGGTTCAGATTGGGCTGAACATCTCTGGGGTTATGTCAAATACCTGAATAACTGACTCTGCCTCCTATCAAATTAACCAGTTAGAGAAAATTTAAGAATTTGTAATCCTCTCATTATGAGGAAACAAAATGTTAAAACTGGCAAAAACATCATTTAGTCTTGCACCTTCGTTTTCCAGTACATTAACACCAGAGAAAACAAGTGATTTTCTTTTTTAATTTTTGTGGCACTTGTTGGTGTTTGAGCTCAGGGCTCTGCCAATTGAACCATGCCCCCAGGCCTGTAAGTGATTTTCTAGATGGCAGGTGCAAGGTGGGCTTGGTGTTCTGACTGAGAGGTTCCTGCCCCTTCTTCACCTGAACATCAACTCCGAGGGCCCCTCTGCCAGGGACCACAGGACCTGCACATGGCCTTCTCACCTCCTGCTCACCTCCTGGCCCCTGCACGCACACAGGATACAGGATACATCTGTGTCAAGACTGGCCGCGGGGATGAGGGGCCTGTGACATTTTGGAAAGGCATTCCAATGCAATTCTTTCATTATTAACGATGAACACTTCAGCCTTGGATCGCATTACTAATAAAAATAAGAGGTGTGTGCCACTGTACCAAGGTCAGGAATTTGGAGGTTTGTGTCATCTGGCCCAGCGTGGTGTCTTCTTGGGGTCTTGCCCAGTTTCCTCAGGCTGAGCTACCCCACCCCCATTTCCAGACCGATTCGGTGTCTGGAAAGCTGGAGAGTTGGAGGGTGTAGGTAGCACCTGACGTGCTGTAAGTAAAAACAGACCCTAACAAGAGCTTGGTCACCCAGGCACCCACCAAACACAATGTCACAAGCTTGCTACCAGAGAACATCACGGAGGTTATTTCTGTGGAAAAGCTTTTCCAGTTTAACTGGGAGCTCTTCAGGTGATGGAGCCTGCTAAAAGAGCCACTGCTCTATACAGATGTTGTCAGTTAACTCAATAGGAAACTGGGCTCCTCAGGCCCCAGGTGCTCAGACATGGCATCCTATCTGCATGGAGCTCTACTATACAGAGAAGTCAGCCACGAGGTCTAAGAGGAAGGACAGGCTGGGGGGAGAGGGGGTGGCAACAGCTGTGGCCAGACCATCAGATGAGGAAGAAAAGCAATGTGAGCCAGCTGTGGGAAGATGAATCCGGAAAGGGCAAGAGTGGTTCAGGAGGCATGGCAAGATGGGGGCAGAGGAAAAGTGAGGAGAATCCAGGTGTTCTGCAGGAAGGCACAAAATGGGCTCTAATGGATGGTGCAGGGATTGGAGGGGAAGCATGGCCCTGGTGACACCTCTGGACTGCTCTAGGGCCCTCTCACACATTTCTCAAACTCCCCAGGGGCAAAGGAATCCTAAGACCACAACCAGACAGCAGATGAGGGACTGTCTGTGGGGTTTCCAGGGGTGACAACTGCAGCAGGAGAAAACCAAGGTGCACATGCAGTCAGCCCTCCACATCAGACTCAGCCAACCACAGACCAAAAATCATTTGAAGAAAAGCCACACTCCCCATGACATTCCCCCCCCCACTGTCACAACTTCCCAAACGCAAGAGAAGAACAACGATTTATATGGCACTTAACTGCATTGGGTATGACATCATCGGCAGACGATTCAAAGCACATGGCAGAGGTTCGGGTGTTGCCCTGCGGCTGCGGGAGAGTGCTTGTGCAGCACGCACAGGCCCCAGGTCTGATCCCCAGCAACACACACAGAACATTCAAAGTACACAGGAAGATGTGCACAGATTGTGTGACACCGCCATTTTACATAAGAGTCTCGAGAATATGTCCTTCAGAAACCAAGTGATGACTGCACTCCACGCATCCAACATGCAAAGCACAAGAATTGCTGCTTCCTCCACCCCACCTCAAACACACCGTCTCCCTGCCATCCCAGCTGGAGGGTCAAGGCGGGCAGGCTGGGTGCCAGACTTACCAGGGAGTCCTGGTTCTTGTGCTGTGAAACCAGCAGGTCAGGGTGGCTACTGAGGTGGAAGCCAGCAGTGGCCAGCTGCAGGCCTGCTGCACAGAATGCGAAAGGCCTCATAGAGAAACCAGTTGAGGGTGAACTGTGTGTGTTTTGAAACAGGGTTTGTTGTGTGGCCCAGGTTGGCCTGCAATGCTTGATCCTCCTCCCTTCCCAGAGTGCTGGAATGACAGATGTGGCCCTAATGGGAATTTTTGAGAGATTTGTTGGGGGGGGGGAAGCTCTGGACAGAGGGAGACTCGTGAGCTGAATTGTGGTTGGTTTTTATGCTCCTAATGACTTTTGGACCCAGGTATTTGGGAACCTAGGGTGGCAGAGGCAATGGTTCCCACAATTTCGGGCAACTGTAGACTTGAGCATACTGCTTCCTGGAACTTCCAAGACTGTAAATCACATTGCTTACAGGAGCAGAAACTGAAATGCAGCAATTGGAGTTGAGGAGCTAAGCTGTAAGAAAACCACGTTCCAATTCTGGCTGCCACAGGTGATCTGTGTCCCCCAGGAAGGAATGTTAGGCAGCTGCTCTACCAAATGAGCCACGAACATGAGAGACAAATGTCTGGTTGGAGCCCTGAGGTTTCTGGTCCTCTATTATAGCAGCCCATGCTGGCTAAAACAGGCTTAGACACAGGATCACACTTTAATTTGGGCCATTTCCCTACTGAAGCTTTGGCACCTCAATTTATAGCGAAGAAGAGTCCCTGGTAAAACTGAAGGATTCTGACTCTTCCCACAAAAGGAAAAGCTTGAGCACCCTTGCTGTTTCTGCTTTGTTGACCTCTGCAGTCCTTGCCCTGCTTGCACTGCTCCAAGCACGTCTCAATACAGCTCCTTTATGACCAACGTTCAGTCAGGGCTCTGGGGGAGAAAACTGGACTGCTGTACACAGGACTGGGTATACACACCCCACTCTAGCACATGCTAGACCCAACTCAAGGGACACTGGCTTGGGCTGAGAATATGGCTAAGTGGCCTGAAATTGACCCAGCATAACAAAACCAGGACGCCAGCTCCAGGTCCTTACTGGCTTCCATTGCCTATATCATGTGCATAGACTGAGCCAGTTTGGTCAGAACAGGATGAAGTCAAGAGTGCAGAGTAACCCAAAAGGTACAGAGACTTTGTTCAGTACTTGTGAGTCGTGCCTGCATGTCAGGGGGAGGACTGAGTCCGTGGTCCCCAAGACCTGGGCTCAGGCAGAGCTGGGAGCACACCTGGGCTCAGGCAGAGCTGGGAGCCCCAGCACCACATCTGCTGCCCCAGGGAGTTGCTGTCCTTCCAGGGTGTACTGCCCTCCTGAGGGCAGCCTTCTTCTCAGGAGAAAATGAGCTGTCCATAGAATGAGGAGTTTGGAGAGGACCTGGAGATGAAGACATGAGCCACAGCTCTGGGCAGTTCTGAAGCATGTGTCAGTTTCCAGGCAGCATCTATCCAAAGGGGACTGATGACAGAGGATGGATGGCCAAAGGCGCCTCCTCCTAGTAAAGCCCTGCAGGGACCCTGTGACGGCCAGCAGTGGAGCCCTGAGTGTGACATGGCACTGCCCTCACATCAGATCTCAAAACAAAAACCAAACAGCAGTAGGGAGCCCTTTAACAAGAGAAAATAGAACAGAAACTGAAAACGGTCTGGAAATGACAATGGTTTCATGAACCTTGCACTCACTGCAAGGTTCCTATCTGAGAAAAAGATGAGCAGCTTTTGTAATGTTCTCATACCTGAGAGCAGAATCAGCTCACAAAATAAAAACATACATAATCCAGTGCCAAAACCGTGACTTACAGAAATCACCTTGGTTTATTTTTTCCAACAAAGGAGAGAAGAACATGGTTCAATAACTCAGTGTTAGGATTCTGGCAAATACTGTCGTGTGGTTCAGTCGGTGCCCCTGCGGGCACCCACAGTTCTGCTAAGACAGAGCACACAATCAAAAAACACACCTACAAAAAGTGCACGAAAAGGAAGTGTGAGTAACATCCACATCTCAAGAGGAAGGAGACACTCCTAGATTGTTCTTGGCTTTGTTCATCTTCATTACTAATTTTTGGCTTTTGAAGTAAACTTTTTTGCTGTGAGGAAGGAGCCATATGACTTTGTACGTGGAAACCAACAGGCTGCTGGGTAATACATACACTTCCCTTCCTGGTCAAGTAGATTTTTCCCCAAACCCCTGTTTTCATGATTCCTGTTATGGTTCAGAAAAGTAAAGAACAGGATTTCAAGTATTCAATTCCTATCAAAAATTGGTATCAAAAGTAATAACGGACCTAATTCCATGTTTTAAAAAATAACTTAAGGAGCACAAGGCGTGGCCCTTCATGTGACAAATCCCTCGGGTCACTAAAGTTTCTTGAGACAGCGTGGGGCGGAGTCCGTGTTTAGCACCTCCATCATGGACCTTAATGTTGGGAACGTCTCTGATACGGACGGGAGAGCCTTGTAAGAAGGCGAGATGCTGAAAAGCAGAAACACAGAAAGGGATGAACAGTGACACATTCCACAAGATCAGGTCAGAGCTCATGTTGCTGAACTCATTCCTATGACCACACCCACTTTCCAGCCCCCATGAGTGTGTCGAACTCACACACCTATAGATGAAGCGGCTCAGAGACCTCCAGGGTTTGGGAAAGGAAATGAGACTGATGACACATGTCCCACAGAGTGTGTGCTAACCTGGACTAGGACACTGGCCTCAGGCCCAGCTTCACTCTTTCCTAGCCCTGTCACTTCTCTTATCTGCAACAGCAGGGACAGAACTCTCAGCTCAGAGCCACCAAGAGCCTGAGTGAGGAAAATGTACGTCCAAGTGCACAGTGAAACAGGAACTGCATGACATATGGTCAGTGTATGTATTCTTTTCTTAAAGAATTGCTGAAATACACTGTAAAATTATATAAGAAACAGAAGTGTGACCTTTGACCTTGTAATCATGTTACCAAAACACATGCAAACTAGTAAACCCCAAACAAGGGTATACAGGAACAAACAGCAACAGAATGACAAACACAGATTTCTGTTTCAAACACAGCAGAAACTATTCAGCGGTTATTATAGTGGCCACTGTAGAATAGACATGAAGGGCAAATCTGCAGGTGTGAGGACATGAGAACAAGGGCAAGGACAAGGTCAGCAGCAGGCTTGCTTGTTCTTCCTTCACTGTTAAGCCACCTGTGAGTTCAATTCACACCTCTCCAGCACCTCTGCAAACAGGAGCCGGGAAGGGCAGTCTGCTGGACTCTTGGCACAGTGACTGCCAGGCACTCCCAGCTAGTGCTCACTGATCACACGTGGTCTCTGCCTAGGTGGCAATAAAATTTACTTTCTTAAACTGGATTATGAAAAGAGTGCAACACAATAGGCTGAGTGCTGCCACTCAGGGTTGTCGGGGAAGAGCTCTGCCCACAATTGGTACAAATCCACTCCCAGGTACTGAACCCAAGAGTTTGGGATGACACACCAAGACAAATGAATGCCTGATTATGTAAACGAGACATCTGTAACTTTTCTTTCACAACTGCTTTCCTTGTTTTTATTTGGCATTCATTTTTATCCACTCCTCACCCTTAACTTATACAGCAGCAAAACATCTGCTGGAAAAGTGGTTAGACCCCGGTACTGCAAAAAGTGAACCCAAGAGAGGCAGCTTTCACATATGACAGCCAGAAGAGCCCCTTCCCTTTCTGACCCCACCAGCCAGTTACCTTTTCAAGTTCATCCAGCTTTTTGCTACTTTACTGAAGGCCTCAGAGCCAGGGGCTGTCATGGCCTCAAAGTCCACTAGCTGAAAGAGAAGAAATTGGAAATGACTCACACAGAAGAGAAAGGCTCAGTGAAGTCTGACTCACCCTCAAGCAAGGCCAGGGACTGGACTCACACCATCACCCAGGGCTCCTGCCAGCCCCACCTACCTTCCCCTTAGGGATCTTCCCTGCCACTTCCTTTCCACTTGCCAGCAATGCACCCACAATGACCGAGTAGGCGATGACACTATGAAACAGAACAACCTTCAGTTGGTCCTGGTCTACAGACAGCTAGCATGTTAGATATGTACGCAGACTTGACTTATAAAAGGTAAAATTTCATGGAAGAAATTCCATGTAAAACTTTTGTTTTGTCTTAAAAATATTTTCTACTTTACTACTAAAAAATTACTAAGGGTAATTATTAAGGGTAAATGTCACCGGGAATATTCTTTCTGGGAAAAGTGTTAATAGTTTTCTTTCTTTCTGTAGTACTAAGGCCTGAACGCAGGGCCTCTGTGCTTGCTAAGCTCTCCATCACTTAAGCCACATCCTGGTCCTTTTGCTTTAGTTTGTTTTTTAGATAGGGTCCCAGCTTTTTCCCTGGCTAGCCTGGAAAACCCAACCCTCCTACATCTGCCTCCCCCATAACTGGGATGACAGGCACACACACCACAACTCGCCCGTATTCATGTTCTTCCTACTTGTTTTTTTCCATTTTTGTGAAGCACTGAGTTTAAAAATGTAGCACATATTTCCAGCAACCTCAGAAGTTCGGCTTGAAAATGCACACACAACAGACTTTGTAAATACACACACGTGGGTCATACTTTTAAGCAACAAAAATATCAGCCTCCAAAGAACAGTAGAGCACAGGCGCAGGTGCACTAAAAGGTGGTAGTCTGGAGCTTTGTGGGTGAATTGCTGGGGCTCCAAGATGGATGCTGGAGCCAACGAGGGCGTGAGGGCTTTGCCTGCTTGTCTGAGAGCTTGTGAGACAGGGTCTGCTGCCTCAGTCACTCGTGGACAGGCATAGAGCAGCGAGTGTATGGGGAAAGAAGGAGGCGTTTGGAAGCAGCCATGCTGCCGCTCTTGGCAAGAGGTGCTGAGTGGAGGAATGGCAATAGCCTGCAGGGCCCTGTGTTGAAGCTGTGGTGCTCTGCTTTTCCTAGAGCCAAGTGGCTCAAGATAACCACAGCTTGTGTGGCCCAGCAGGGAGGGCAGCCTCCAAGTGCCACAGCAAACATGGGAAGGGAGTCAGCTACTTGGCTGCCTACTGGAGACACTTCAGAGAGATGTGTGCTGTGTGTGTCTCTAGGCCTTGGAAGGCTGAGGGAGCAGAGGAGAAAGCAGGGAGAGTATGGGAGGGCTGCAGGGAAGAGAACAGGCCACCACAGGACGGATGGGGTGAAGCCAAAGCAAAGCAGTATAGGGCACGCCAGTCCTGGGGAAAGACTGAAGAACTTCAGGGCATACAGAGAAGGGAAGACGTTCATAGGAGGTGCACTGGAAGTTTCGGGGAGGAGGGCAAGGGCCCAACTAGAATCAGGAGTCGGAACCGACAGGCTTTAGGACGAAGGAGAAGGCAGGATGAGAGGGCAGAAGGTGATGGGGTGCACATCTCCCGTGCTGCTGTGGGGCAAGGGTGAGTGGTAGACTCTGCTCAGTCAGCTCCCACACAGTGGCTGGCTGGCTGGCTGGCTGATGGCAGCACATGCAGGCCTCACATTCATCACTTATTTGATTCTTATGTCCCTATATTTTTTCAATGCCTATTAAATACCACATCAAAATTTATACCACGCTCAAGGAGCTTTACTTTCTGAAATGTTAATTAATTTAAATTCCAATCCATGCAGCACTCCACTGATGTGCTCATACCACAGCAAGAGTCACCCATGGTAACATATTAAGGCCTGGAGATCCAACAGTGCAACGCCTTCAGGCCCACAGTCAATGAAGGACCAAAATGTGGAGAAGGGGTGGACGGGCAGGGACCGACCGGCCAATGCTGAGATGGACACACAGAGAGTGGGGCGCGTGTAGCACGCACGTGGCAAGCCTTCACGCTGTCTGTGCTGTGCTCCGTGTCAGAGCTATCCTTTATCTCTTTGATGGTGTGGTAGGCCAAGGAAGCCATTCCTTGTGTGGATTTGAAAAACAGTCTATGAGGCATTTTTTGACGGCTTATTTGTTTGTTTAATTATCTGCTCAATTTTTGGAGACAGGGTCTCACTATGGAGTCCAGGCTGGCCTGGGGCTCACAGTCTCCTTAGTGCTGGGATTATAAGCGTGTACCACCAGGCCTAGCTCTTGGTGCACATTTGTACCTACATTCATAACACGAGATATAAGTCAAAAACAACATATTTTAAATTTTAAAAATCTTCATTACAAGATATCACTTACCTAGATCCTCGAGAGAGGGGCATTAAGTTATAAAAGTAATAAACTAAAGACAAGATTAAGTTGCAGACAGCATCAGCCTCCTAGGAAAAAGGACACAGGTTCATTAATTAGCTTACACACAGGTCACAAGCCTACCCTCCACTGGGTAGCAGGACACAGGAGGGCCACTGACAGCAGGAGGAGGACCACTCACACTTCCTTCAACATACTTCTTTCTTAAATTGGTTTTCTAGCAAACGGGAACACACAGCATTCAACTTAGAGCAACATTTCCCCTTCTGTTTCTTAAACTATAGCCTTTTGAAAAACGCAGGAATCTTGATCTCCTTTGATGTTACTTGGAAGGTCCTGATCCGAGCACACTTACCAAAACCTACCATGCTTTCTCAAATGGCATGCGCCCCTGCCCAGCGGTCCTGATAAACTGCCCCCTCCACATACATTGAGGGATAAGCATGCTTAACTATGTGTACGGAACTACAGCTGAGATCTTAACCCACGGGAGAACTGGCTAAATGTCAACAAAAGGCCAGCAGCACTGCAGTAGACAGGCGAGGTCAGCCTGTGCGGAGCCCTTGAGTCGGACAGAGGCCACACTCCAGAAGTGGCTGCTAGGCACTGAGGGCATGAGCTAAGCGTGTGCCGTCAGTGCCAGAAACTGCTGGAGTCCATCACCAGTTTACTCCAGAAGTTTACTGCAAACTCAGCATCACACACAACAGCCACGGTGGGAAGAGGACAGGAAGAAAGGAGGCATAGACCACATTCACTGTGGACTAACTCTCAGTTAGCCTTATGAAAGCCCAGGCTTACAGTAGTTCAACACAGTGCTAACAGGGATTATAAACACATCAGCCCACTACTGTGGTTACAAAGTCCTGTAAGAATATGAGAAAGAGGTATTTACAGGACAATTCAATCTTATTTCAAGCATAAGAAATCTTGGTGAAAGGCTGGGCGCTATAAAACATTTACAATAGAGTCACAGGAAGAGGAGGGAAATGGAGACAAAGGGAAACCTACCCCAAATTCTGAGGAGAGGATCAACACTTTTCCTTTTGCTGTCAGGTCTTTATAAAGAGCATCTATCTCTGCATGATACAACTGTGTCCTTTCTTCTGTGGTCTGTGTTTCCACAGAGAACAGAATGTTGCCAGCTCTGAAAATACAAACATGAGCATCAAAGGCAAGTACTGCCCAGGCCAAGCAGCAAACAGAAAGAAAGGAAGGAAGAGGAGGAAGAGGCAAGGCGTGTGGCACTGAACAGACCTCCGAGTATCCCTACCGTTCTGACTATGGAATGTATCTATCTAAATGCAAATGTAAAAACTGGCTGGAATCTCAGTGAGCAGAGCTCATCCGCTCACAGCAAGTCTAACCACATGGACGCATTACGTGAGTTTAAGTGGGGCACCAGCCATACTCCGTGCCGAAAGGCCGAAACCCAACGGTGTGCTCAGTCATTATTCTCTGATTCAAGACCAGGACAGGAGGAAGCTCAGGAACCCGCCACCTCTGTTCTGTGCATAAGCCCCCATGCACGCTTAGCTCCACTGAGGCTCTGTGGAGAACACAGTGGTGAAGGCCATTAGCAAGGTGGCCTTGTATTTAGAGCCTACACAGAGAAGAAGTTGCTGCTTCTGTTGACTGGGGACCCCAGGCTCAGGGTCACAATACAGCTCAGCAGTAGTTAAGAAGAAAGGCCGATCTAACTTGGACGGCAAGGAGAAGAGCCCGAAGCAGTCCACGGGAGAAAGGGCCTAAATATGAGAGTGGGAATGACAAAAGGTGAGCTCGGGGACACTCAGGCCAGGTTCTGGTAGGCAGGAGGTCAGGTGAGACCATGTCACAGGAGGGCCATGAGTGACTGTAGGGGAGCTAGTGTGGGTGATAAGCAGCAGTGACCAATGGCTGAGTGTGGAAAGGGAAGGGTGTTCTGGGGCAGGGAGTGTCCAGGGAGCAAAGCCTCAGGAATACCATGTGGCCCAGTGAGGGGAGTAGGAGGAAGACACCAGACATGAGCCTGCCTGAGGGGTGGGAGGCCCAGGGCAACAGAAGCATGTGGGCAGGCCATCAATAGACACCCTGTTTCAGGAAAGAAGTCCCTGCACTTGTGTGGCTAGCAATTCCATTTCTGCCTGGGCATCTAATCCAAAGACACACATCCTGGGTATATGAAAGGTGGGTTAAGTTTGACACTAAGTAGAACTCCCTGGGATTCCTTTGGGGGAATCTCCTTCATTGGGAAAGTTCTTTGACAAGTAGTGAGGGGTAGAGATGGAGACCTCAAAGACAGGGAAAAGCCACAGAATCTGGAAGTTGCTAAACTGGTGTTTACTCACTTCAAGTTCTGGCAAGGACTGGGAAAAGTGGCTTCCTGTGATTTGAAAGGCAGACACAGAAGGTGAGGGGCTGGGTGGGGGTAGTCATGCTGCAGCAGCCACAGAGGTCTGAGCTTCCACAGGCTATGTGTGTGACGAAGGAGGGGGTGTGAAGCAACTCAAAAGTATTTGCACCAAAATCCAAGGACACGGAAACTCCTACATGAAGTTTGGATTTCAAATGTCCACGAACCTGTAGCAAATAAAGCCGGGCACTGGTGGTTCACAACTGTAACCCTAGCTACTTGGGACACAGAGATCAAGACAACCATGGTTCGAAGCCAACCCTGGGCAGACAGTTTGTGAGAGCCTGTTTCGAAAATGCCCAACACAAAAAAGGGTTGGTGGAGTGGCTCAAGTGGTAGAGCACCTGCCTAGCAAGCATCAGGTCATGAGTTCAAATCCCAGTACTGCCAAAAAAAAAAATTACTCCATAGCTACTAAGAATGTTCACCAATTTTATTTATAAAGTAAAACAGAGGGAAATACCCTAAATGGCCACAAACAAAAAACTCAATAGGAAATGTCTACATTTATGAGATGGAATAATACACAGTTGCTAAAAATGCTTAAAAACAACTGAGAAAGCAATCAGGAGAGTGATCACACAGGGAGAGAAGCAGCAGGCTACAGAACAGCACAACATCGTATCACCTGGTTTTAAAGAAACTGCACTTCTACTTTCTTAACTTTATTTATCTGTATTTCCCAATTTTTTTGCAATAAGATGGTACTATTTTTTTTTTTTGGTGGGACTGGGGTTTGAACTTGGGACTTTGTGCTTGCAAAGCAGGTGTTCTTCCACTTGAGCCACACCTCCAGTCCAGGACATACTACTCTTGTAACATATGAAAGCCTCTGTTAAATCCACCCCACAAAACATCTTCAACCTGCAAGCTCACCTGTCGTTCATTCTATTGGCCTCCAAGAACCCAGGCAAATGCTTTCTGAGCACTCTGGGCCTCCCCCTCAATAGCCAGGAGACTGTTAGGTTTAGAGTAGACACACAGACACGGTGTAATCCTCTGCACACTGCACCCTGAGATTTTTCATTTCAGCACACGTTTCCTGCAGCCACCACTAGCCCCAGGCCCGCCCTGGCGCACACGTACTTGTCTCCTGTGATCGTGATTGTGAATCCGTCATATTCCTTCCCTTGTTCTTTGAGGCTGGGAACCTTCGTATTCACAGTGAACCCGTCCTTCGTTTTAGTATTAAACTGCTTTCGAGGGGGAAAGAAAAATCCATGTTACTAGTTTATGACCCATTGTGAACTCCAGCCACAGCTTGTAGTGCCAACTCTGTCTGAGATGTCTCTAAAGAAAGTCATGGAATCCACGCAATACAGGAGGCTGTATGCTCTCTGTCCTGACAGTGACCAAGGACACCTCTCTTTGTCCTCTGCAGCCTAAGTCCCACTGCTGTGACCCCACAGCAGCAACACATATTCCACTCAGAAAGTCCACAGGCTCAGCCAGGGATGGTGGCGCACACCTGTGATCCCTGCCCTTGGGAGGCAAAAGCAGGCAGATCAGGAGTTCAAGGTCAGCCTGGACTACATAGCAGGACCCTGTCTCAAAAACAAAGGCAGAAACAGAAGCAGAAAGCCCACAAGGCTCTCTGGGCAACCAGGGTTCAGCCCCCTGGAGAAGCTGCTTCTTTTTCTCTCACTCCGTCTTAGTGGCAGCCACCTGAATCTCAGCAGAGCAGCTGCTGCCAGCCTGCATCTCTGAGGAGCAACTGTGTTCCTGCAAGAGCTCCTCAGAGCCGTATGACTTTCCTCAAAGTACGGGAGTTCTTCTTGCCAATGAGGGAGTTTCACAAACACATGCACACAAACTCCCACACCCGCACACTCACACACACTCCAGCTCTGCAGACCACAGAAAGCTTAAAGGAATTCCTCAGAGTAAAGCAGGTGCCATGCATGAATTCAGCTCCAGATGCCAGCTTTCTGTTTAAAACATTTTCAATGAGTCCAAAATGTGGCAACAGGTTTTGTCATTACTCCAGAACAGTGCCTGTCAAATTTCCCTACTTAGTATCACCCCTGTTTTCTTAGGATTGATAGACCTGAAGCAAGTGAAGCAACAACACAGTGAGAGGAGGCACTGCTTCATGGCCCACGATGGGAGGAGTGGCTACAAAAGGCAACAGAACAAATGAACATGTGTGGACAGCACAGGCCATGAAGGTCAACAGCTGGAACAAAGCAGGAGGCATCTTTCTTTAAGGAAGCAGCTCTCAGACGACAGCGCTGACGCCAACTGTATGCTACTTTTCACTGGAGCCTCATGACAAAGTTAAGACCAGGCATGAACTTGCTCTTACAGAAGAGAACAAACCTGGCAAATCCAACCTGAGCCACTGAGCCAGGAAGCAGCAGAATGGATGGTGAACCCTCCCAGTCCACGCCACCTGCTAATGAGCCCCTCAACGGGTCTGAAGTCTGCTTCATCTTGGTTTTTCAGCAACAGCACACTGCATTTTTCAGGGGAAGTTGGCGTGGTGCCACATTTTACCACATAGTTTGAGCACACAACCCTTTAAGATTTTGCTGTGTGCCTGTAAAATACCAGCTTATCCTTAATTCTGGACTCAAGCTAGATGTGCAATTCTGGAGTAGAATGCTGCTCAAACCCTGCAGACAACATGGACATCAGTGTCCTGGAGACAGGCGATGCCAGCCACTCTCCAACTGCCAGTCCATTTTGCTTTCCTATCGATTGGCTGATTGATTGTGGTACCGAGGACTGAACTCAGGCCTCTTGAGCCACATCCCCAGTCCCTGTTTTTCTTTTTAAGCCCCCACAAAAAGATTCTGTATTCTAGACAGACCACTGTAAATTTTAAGGCCTGAACTACCCACAGGAATGTGGCTGCAGAACACTGAGACAATTTACTCCACCATGGTGCATCCCGACAGACCTCAAGCCAGAGGGGAGGTGTGGGACACTCTGGGTGTTAGTAACTGAGTGGGTGGCCAAGACTACTGCCCAATGGTGCAGGGGACAAACATTGCACATGACCTCGTAGTGACCTGGGCCTGGAACCAGACTCCGCTTTACACTCATACACCATCTGCCATGGTCTCACACACGGAGAGCACATCTTACACTGTGGGCTTCAGAAACCACGTCACTGATGACATGAGGTCCCCACGAGACACACACATGGAGGGCTGCGTTAGTTACTGGCCACACAGAGCCAGCGCTGGCTGCTTCTGAGGAAGGTACACCCGAGGCCCACCACCGAGGTGCTCCTGTGCGACTCCTCCAGCCACTATGCTGGCTTTGTGGGGAGATGTTTGAGCAGGTGGATGTGCTCGCTCTGAATTTCTTCCCAGGGAGGTGAAGAGCTCAGCAGTGGGCACCCACAAAACTCTGTAACCGTTAAGCCATAACGCCCTGTTTGCCTTCCCTCTAGTTCTTGGCAATCTCTAGGCTCTTGTCTCTGAATATGACCACTCTAGAGACCTCATGTAAGTGGAATCACACAGCACGTCTTCTGTCTCTGGCTTCTTTCTCTCAGCATGATGTCTTTACACAGGTGTTTGCATTTCCTTCCTTTTCAAGGCTGAGTACTACTTCATTGTATGGTGTACTACATTCTGTGTATTCATTCATCCATCCCTGAACACTTGGGTGGCTTCCACACCTGAGTGGCTGCTGTGGAAATGCTGCCGTGAACATGGCTATACAGATGCCTGTTCAGGTTCCTGTTTTGGTTCTTCTGGGTACACACCAGAAGCGGAAGTGCTAATCTGTTTCACTTTTTGAAACAGGATTTTAAGGAGTCCCAAAGTATTCTCAAGGGTGCATCAGGTGTCAGTGCTTGAACTTCGGTGAACTGAGCCATCCGCAAGACCTCCACGCAACTTTGCACCCTATGAACTACCTTTACTGTTCTGTCGACTAAGTCTTCCACATCTTTTTCCTCCTCTCCTTCTGGAATTTCTCCCTGATGGATGCATTCTTCATTGTTTCTTCTGTCTTTCACACCACATCCGGGGAAAATTCACTGACCTTCCAGGTCATGGCTTTCACATTCAGCTTTCTTCCATCTGAAAGTTCACCTGAGATAACCTCTAATTTGTGTGAATTCTAATTATTTTTATTTATTTGCTTATTTATTTATTTTTGTGGTACTGGGGATTGAACTTAGGGTTTTGCACTTGCTAGGTAAGCAATCTACCACTTCAGCCATACCCCAGCTCTTTTGTTTTGTCTCATTTGTTTTTGAGATGGGCATCTCCCTAACTTTGCTAGGGCTGGCCTGGAACTTCTGACCCTCCTCCCAAGTAGCTGGGATTATAGGCGTGCCCCATCATGCTTGGCTATTGATTATTTCTTTTCATCCATCATGATAGTGACTCACTCGCTCAGGAAATTAACCTAAGAGCTTTTTTGTGGTACTGAGCTTTGAACTCAGGGCCTCCCACTTGCTAGGCAAGAGCTCTACTTCAGCCATGCCCCAGCAACTTTTTAGCTTTCATTATTTTTTAGGTAAGGTCTTGCATTTTTTTCCCAGGGCAGTGATTTCCTGCACAGCTGGGACCACAGGTGCACACCACCAGACCCAGCTTATTGACTGGATGGGATTCTCCCAATCTCCACGTCCCAAACAGCTGGGATTACAGGCATAAGCCACTGCACCTGGCCCTAATTTCTGCATTTTTACTGAGGGGTATGATTTATTCACAATGAACTGCCTGTGTGTAACTGGATACATTGTGACAAAGGTACACACCATATAAACAGCCATGATGGAGACACATGTGTCTCTCTTGTGCTGGGTGTTTGCTCCTGCTCTTCACAAGCAGCAGCTGTGCCATCAACTGTCCCCACTGGCAGAACTTCCTCCTACCACACTGTGCCACTTTGCATCTGGCTTCTTCTGTCCAACAGGTCATTTCTGAGATTCACGCTGCACCTCCAGCAGCTATGCTCCTTGCTCACTGCTGGTGTCCCTGAAGACCTGCAATGGACCCAAGAAGCCCCTGCTCTGGAAGATGGCCCATGACCAGGATAGCTGGGGACTGGCACACGAGCCTGGGGCCTCTCCATGTCACCATGCAAAGACAAGGGGAGGAATTTCTGGGAAGAAGGCGCTTCTGGGTCTTCCTGGCCTCATGAGGGGACGGGAAGCCCACTGTGTCCAAGACCACTTTTCAGGTCTAGAGTTTTTTTCTGGCTGAGATGTTCCATCAGCATGTTCCCGCTTTCCTGTGAGGCCTTGAACCTTTACGAAGAGCACTGCGACATCAGGGTCACCTCAGGGTCTGTTCCTGGTAATGGTTTGTTTGTCCTGCTTCTTCAGTCTCACTGTCTTAAGACAGCTTTTGTGCTGCTATAACAGAATACACAAGACTGAGTAATTTAGAAGGACCAGAAAGCTGAAGTCCAAAGATTAGGCACAGGCATCTGGTGTGGCTGCCTTACAATATCCTTATGTGGTGGACAGCAAAGGACAGGAGAGCGCCCACTCCCAAAGCTCTCTTACAGGGACACTGATCCACTCGTGACCTCATGCCTCCCCCAAGGCCCCACTCCTAACATGGCTGTACTGGGACTCTGTGACCACATCTGGATCCAGCATCTGCTCCTTAGAAATCAAGGACAGATTCTCCCACCTTCCCTGAAAGGATGATCAGCTTTATTCTGCATGTAGTCAAATCCGCTCCAGGCTGGTCTGAGTCTTTATCAGGGTGGTCTATAAGAACTGAACATGTGGCCTGGCATGTGGCCCTTACTATGGTGTGGCCTTCACCCCACAGCAAGTCCTCTCTGCAACAACAACAAAACTAAACCCCAGTGTACACAGGATCTGAGACCTCCCTCTCTTAGCTGCAGATCTGATGGCCCCCCTCAGTGGTCTCCAAGCAGCCACTCGCTGAGCCTCCAGGACTCACTGCAGATGGTCCGCTCCTGGCCTTGGGCCACGCACACCTTCCTCGCCCTGCTCTCTACTGGTTCATGAACTGTCCTATGGCCCTGTGGACTCTCCTGGCAGGAAGCTGGGTGGAGAATGGGGCTCCCTCCTGCTGCCTTCTCAGAAGCCGCAGTCTTCAACAGCCTGATGCTGAGCACAGGGCCTAGCCATGTGTACAGCTGCTGTTACTCAGACGCCCGCTCAGTTAAATTAAGTTAAATTAACTTAACTTAATTTAATTTAAGTTCCTGCCATTTCCCGAATCAACTGCTTCCCTCAAATCAGTTTTCTTGGAGTCTGATGCCAGTCCTCCATTTTGAATTGGTTGTCACTCGGGTTTTGTTTACATAAGCGATCTCAGATACTATGCCTCATGAATTTTAACATTAATAAACAGGCATTTGATGAGCTCTTTTTCAAAGAAAGTGCTGTTGGCTTTCCTCCTGTGTTCTGATGATAAACTTACCTTCATAATTGGAAGCAGGTCCTCGACCTTGTGCACCTTCTCTAGAGCTTCTCTGACTTCCAGCAGTCCCTTGGGGTTATTAGCTCTACAAGAGAGAATGGCGGGGGGTGGTGCTGAGACCAGTGCAGAATCGTGACAGCTAACCGTGATATAAGCTTAATTACGAGAAGTTCAAGATGCTGTCTCCTTAAGCTCCACATCCACGGTGAGCCAAACTGATCACAGTAACGTAAGAGACAGTGTGTCCTGAGCCTGCACAGACTTTCCACAAACAGCAGGATCACAACCACCTATCCAGCATTGACACGCACATTGCATTAGGGTTGCGAGGAATCCAGAAATGATTTGAAGCATGTAGGTTTCTGCAAATTTTGTGGCACTTTATGGAAGGGACCTGGGCACTGGGATTGTGGTGTCTGCTGGGGCCCTGCAGTCCCCTGCAAGTAGCAAGGGACAACTGAGTTCAAACAGCAGGCCGTTTGAGGTTCTAAATGGCCAGGTGGTTTAATCTTAACGAGTGCTGGACTGCACATGAGAATATGGAAATGGCAGCCCCTCCAGAGGGTGGAGCTGGTGGGACAGCCAGCGTTCATGTCCCCAAGCACAGGAGTGGCGTCTGCCATGAAAGCTTGATTCTCCTTCTCCCAACTCACAATTAGAAGGACGCCTGTTTTTCTTCCTGAAGCTGCTCAGTGAAAGTATCTTGGAGGTTCTTATACCAATGTCCTTTTTAGTCGGTGACCTTTCACCACCCAAAGCTGAACTCCCTAATGATAAGCTGGAGGAGGAAAGAGACTAAAAACCACGCAGTACTAAGTGTCCAGCTGAGGCCCAAGGGTTCCCAGAGTCATTTGAAGGGTGTGGGTGGGGACTGTGAGCAGCTTTGCAGTTCTAAGTGCTGAAAACATTTAGTCTAGTTTGTTTAGTCTCTAGTGGGCTTACAATTTTTCACATTTCACAAATATAACACACCACCCATTACTAGGAAGGACAGAATGGAATGCTTACCCATGGTAAACAAGAATTCTATCTTTAATAAAATGAAGTATTTTCTCAAAATATTCCAGATACCTCATGTTAATCACTTGACCCCTGTAAGGCAAAAATATATATAAAATAATATAATTAGCCAGGTGTGGTGGTCCACACCTGTAATCCCAGTACTCAGGAGGCAGAGGCAGGAGGATTGTGAGTCTGACACTAGCCTGGGGTAGTAAGACCTGTCTCTTCCTTCCCTCCCCACCAAAAAAAATCTTTTTACAACAGAGTATTTCCAAGCAACATCTAACTTCAGTCAAGTAGAACAATGAGAGCTTTGATATAGCGTGGTCAGGAGAGTCTAGGAAACGCCCTGTTCACTCGATGGGTGCCAGGCAAGGTACCATCTTTGCAGGCTGCTAGCCTGCTTGTCTGCAGGAAGGGCTCTACGTGGCTCCAGATGTACCAGCCGAAAGGACAGCCCCCAGGGTTCACACAGAGCTGCGACTCTTATGTCAACTGCCTCTGCGAGACCCATATTTCTCCTAGGACCTGCCATCACACCCTTGGCTCCTCCTAGTGCTCTAGACACCTTCCTTCCTCTGCCCACTCCAACTGTCAGGTTCCTCACACTCCTGCCATGCTCTTTAGACTCCTCCACAATACTGTTGCCACAGGGCACATCCAGCAGCTCCAAGGACCTCACTCCCGGGCTCCCCACAGGCACCCCAGCCTCCAGGCAGATCCCAACTGTCAAACAGGAGATCATTCCCTCCACAGCACTCCTCCTCCCCCTGCCCCCAACATGGCCACTACTTGCTGTCCTGGTGCTATCAGCCCAGCTGGGACTGTCACGGAGCTGGGCTGGAAGCCAGGCAGCGTTCCTCAGATACCACACAATCCAACATTCCTAACCCATCACCTGGGTCCTCTTCCTCACTGACTCACTGCCACATGGCTTCCAGGGCCTTTGTACTCCATCTCAGCTTTCAGTCCTCTTCCCTGGCCCCCACGGTTGCTGACTAATCTGTTCATTTGGTCGGCCGCCCAAGTGACCATCCAAATGTGCCAATCTGCCCATGTTCACCATCCCTGAGCAGCTGGTCACCGTCCTCAGAAAGAAAAATCCCTTGGCATGGGAAATGGAGCTGCTGCCTATCTTTTTAGACTCAATTCCTGACAGTCCCTCAGCTGCATACTGGTCACAGCCATAAGGAGTCACAGACTCCTGGCCATGCCTAACTCACCCATGGGTCCATCCCTTATCTCCTGACAGTTGATACACCCCTTTCCTGTGCTGAAGGGCAGGCTAGGCACCCCTTCTCTGCTCCCAGGGAACCTGCATCAGAACTACTCTTGTGCTTAGCACTGCACACAAGGCAGAGCTCACTGAAGTCAAGGGTCTCTGCTTCCCTGCTGCAGCCCTGACACATCACTACCAGGCAGCACAGCACAGGACTGATAAACGGTGGCCTTCAGTTACAGCTAGTGCTCAGCATGGCTAGAAATGCCAAAAATTATGCCTTGAGAAACAGGCAGATACAAATTAAAAGGAGGAAATATATTCATTAAATTATTTATTAAATTAAAAAAAATAAATATACAAGTGATATTTCCATTAAAACCTAAATCTAGATGCCAAAATTATACAGAATATCATTTTGTTGATTCAGGTTTCTGGAGCTGGAAGCATTTTAGATGTGAGATAAAGTCACATTCATAAATGTTATCAAAAATGAAGTTCACTAGCAGACAGGACAGCAAGGTGGGTCTCCCTGACGCTGGCAGTGTGCAGTGCTGCTCAGTACTTACCCAGAGGGCAGCTCAGAAGGTGAAGGGAGGGAAGAGGCAGACATCTGGCCACACGCCAACTTGCCAACAGAGAAGCTCTCAGCGCACCTGACTCATCCAGGGAGCCACCCCAGTGACCAGCCAGGTCCCTCCTCTGAGGAAAGATGACAAAAGGCTCATACCTGATTAAATTGATGTGGTTGTTAAAGCCTCTGCTAAGACTTCGCACTGGCATCTGATCCAGCCACAGCACAGGCTGATCCGGGTCAGCGATCCTGTAAAACAGAGCTTGTGAATGCTGAGATCTAGTCCAGGCATGTCCAGAGCATTCAAAACCAAACACAAATGAGTCTTCGTGAAGTGAGGTAAAGCACTTGCTAGCTCTGACCACTAGAAATAGCATACAAGTAGGCAAACTCCAAACAGATGTTCTGGCTGGGCCAGGTCAGAGGTCAGTCAAGGCTTATTAGCAGAGCACATGCCTTTCAGACTCCAGAGGGGCCTGCACTCTACAGGCCCAGGTAAGGGGTGCCCCTTCAGAGACTGCTTCCTCTGAGGCAGGGCATTCACTCAGGGGCCTGGAAATGTAGCAGCAATCAACTAGACAGATGCCAGCGATACAGATGTGGCAAATTGGGGCAGGGGGTGGGGACGACCTACAAAGGACCCACTGTGAGTAAGAAAACAGGTTCAAAGCCTGGAGAGGAAAGTGGTGCATTATCTGAAGCAAGACTTTGGGCGCGTAGCTACCTTCTCCACTTCACGGCGATGTCAAACATGTCCCTCCACTGCATCAGCCGCGTCTTCCCGTTCATGCGCACCTTTGAGTTGGTCCACGTGCGCTGCACAGCCTGCATGACTTCCAGGGCTGCCAAGCCCATGGCTGGGGAGAGAAATGCGGACACAGAGGTTGCCAGAGCTCCACAGGGCCAGGTTTCAGGGACCCCCCAGGAGTTCCTGCCTACAGAACCACAAGTGCTAGAGGTACAGCAAGACCCCAGGTGCCTTTCAGCCTGATGATACTCTCAGCTCTGACCTTACTAGGGCAAGCAGAGGTTGGCATTCCTCCTCCCTCCGGTAATCAGCTGCCTGACCTATGGTAAGGACCTGAGATCTGTACGAAGGCCAGGGCAAAAGGCCAGGGCTGAAGGAGGAGTGGTCTTTCAGAGCTTACTGCGAGCACACATTTCTGCTCTGTGAGCATGGTGATAATGGTGTGGCCTACCCCGTTTCCAGACAGTCTCCAGTTACCTCTGTGGATCCTCTTATTGGGTAGGAAGCCAGGCGTTTCATACTGCATCAGTGACCCCAAACGATCAGCCACACAGATCAGCTCCTGCACTTCAGGCTTGTAGCTCTCAAAATTCTGATGCAGCACATCCCTGGAAGAGGCACGGTATGCACGGTTAAGGACTCCATCACACACCTGGGAGGTCAACTTCACCTGGACAGCAATCACTCCCTCACCTCACCTCCCCTGGAAAACTCTTGAAGACATCCACGACCACATAATCCTTACTCAGTGCTTTGCCTCCAGCCACGTGCAAAGTAAAAGAGAACTGTGTATTAAACCATGTGCACAGTTGCTATTGTTACTGGCTAGTAACACTGACAACCAATGTGCAATTTTTGTGTGTGTGTGGTAGTCATAGGGTTTGAACTCAGGGCCTCATGCCTGCAAGGCAGGCACTCCACCAGCCCCTTTTGCATTAGATTATTTCTCATCTCGGGTCTGATGCTTTTGTCCAGGGCTGGCCTCAGACCACAATCCTCCTACTTACGCCTTCCTTGTATCTGGGATTATAGACACATACTACCACACTTGATTTGTTGAGATGGGTTTTGCCCGGGCTGGCCCCATCCCTCAATCCTCCTGATCTCAGCCTCCCAAGTAGTTAGGATTACAAGAGTGAGCCACTGTGCTTGGCTCCAAAGTACACTTCTTACTGGGATTTTTCTTTGTAAATTTCTCCAGAGCACATACCTAGGTGCACTGCCTTTTTTAACAAGCAACCAGATCCCAACACTTTGTCACCTATCCCGCCCCCTGAAGGCTGCATCACAGAAGGTGGACCTATGGAATGGTGCATGTAACTACTGTTGTTCAGCTGCCAACCTGCTTGAAGCTTTATAGCAAACACCTCAATTGTTTTATTTTATTTATTTTTGGTTTTTCTTTTAAGGCAAAGTCTCACAGGCTGGCCTGGACTTATAATCCTCCTGCCTCAAGCCTCTCAAGTCAACATTGCAGTTCTAACTTATGGGGTGCTCTGGGGTACCCAACACCACCCTCAGGCTCCATAGTTCACCAGGAGGGCTCAGAGGACTTAGCACACAGTTGGACTGACAGCTGTGATTTTTCATTCTGGAAAAACACAGTCAGCAAAGGATAAAGGCATGGGACGAAGCTCAGAAGAAACCAGGTACAAGCTCCCGGAGTCCTCCCCAGGGAGTACTACAGGAGTGCCGAGTCCACTACAGCGAGCTGTGACAGCACCAGGATGCTGCCCGCCAAGGGCACACTGACTCGGCACCCAGGGTTTCCCAACTTCCGGACACTCAGAAGGAAAGCAGGCGCAGTTTAGGTGCACTGAGCTACTCTCATCAGTGTGAGAAGAGTGGGAAGCCTCCGGAAATCCAGGTTCCCAGATGCCCACTGAGGGCCACCCTGCAGGCAGGCCTTCCCAAGGACACTGTCACCTTCTGCTTTGGTTCAGGGCTATTTCTCAAAAGGGAAGCAGAGAACGCACCCAGCCTCTTTGAGCAATCAACTTTGCTTTTTCTATTTTTGATTATCTAATAATTCAGACATGGAAAAGTGCCCACCTCACTATCTTGCCCAGCCTCCTTCCTGCCTCCCAGCAGAGGTAACTGAATGGAAATTTTGTGCTCCTACTTCTCTTGCTGATTTGCAGTTTGTTACAGATGTATATCCCTAAACAATATATCCTGTCATTTTCCTCAGGAGCTTTGGGACACCCAATGCAACACGACTGTGAACCTGCTGACCTGCTGCATCCCGCGCTGACACCTCCACGTTTCAAGGTTAATTCATACTGCTATGTGGCAGACTCTTGTTTGTCTGTTCTCTTATCATTTCTTTGATGGGCATTTGGTCTGGCCTCCAGTGACCAATATGGCTGTCATAGTCTTATCCAGGTCTCCTGGCAGACATGTGTCCAGGTCAAGACTCTCTGCTGAAGATGCACAGATACAGAACATGGGGATGCTCACATAGAAGTGATGATGATGTGAGCTTTCACCAGAGGCATCAACAGTTCCCCAGGACCCTCCTTCTGACCAAGGTGACCATCGGCAGGCTTTGTACTACCTGGTCATCTAGTATGTGAAAAGCTTCACGTGGTCTTAATTTATGAACTAAAGTTCTTTCCATATCTGTTGGCCACCCAGGATCCCCCTTAGTGAAATTACCTGTTCATGTCTCTTGCACACTTTGCTATTGGTCAACTTAGCTTGCAGTGTGTACCACTTCTTGGTCAGGTATGCAGGGTGCAAGTACCTTCACGCCATCCTCGTGCATCTTTTCACTCCCCATGGGGATTACTGAACACAAGTTCTGAAGTTCTTAAGTTCCGTGGCGTCCAATTCAACCTTTTTGTCTCAGGTCTCTGCTTTGTGCACCTTGATTAAGAAATCCTTCTGTATCTTTGGTGGGACTTAAAAACGCAGGGTTTAGCACTTGTAAAGCAGGTGCTCTACTGCTTAAGCCACATCTCTGGTCCATTTTGCTCTGCTTATTTTGGAGATGGGGTTTCTCAAAACTCTCTGCCCAGGCTGGCCTTGAACTGCAGTCCTCCAGATCTCAGCCTCCTAAGTAGCTAGGATTACAGGTGTGAGCCACAGGCACCTGACTAACCTTCTGTATCTTAAAGCCATAAGTCGTACGTTCTCCTGAATTTGTCTTGTCATTCCTACTGAAGACGTTCACTGTCTAGCAATGAACTGACATCTCGGCCATTAAAGCAGCCTCCTTCCCTTCATCCACAGGTGGCCAGGCTGGCCACTCCATGGCCTCTGAGTTCCTCACTGGTCTAAGCATTCTCTCCTCTCAGGCTGTCCATGCTGCTCCCTCCGCCTGCATCAGGGCCTCTCAGCCTTGGGGTCTTTGCTCCAGGTTATCTTAGTCTTAAAACCTGCTATCTAGAAGACAAGGACCTTCCCTTCCAAGCACCACCATCTGTGGATGTGTCTTGATTACTCTTGGCCCTTTGTTCTTCCACAAGGTTCACAGAATTAAGTCAACAAGCTGCTCAGAAGACTGCTGGGACTGAACAGCACTGTACTAAAGCTGCGATTAGTGTGGAGAAGCAGTCAAGTCATAAATAATGCAGCATTTCTCCCCACTTGCCATAGCTCCCCACTTGTGATTTGTTACCCTGCAGTCTAAAAACAAATGGAAAATTCCAGAAAAACAATCTGTAAGTTTTAAATCGCCTCTGTTCTGAGCAGTGTGACACAATTTCAACTGTCCTGCTGCCCCGCCCAGAATGTGATCCACACTGCTGTCCATTTTGCTCTGGTTATTTTGGAGACAGGGCCTCAAGAATATTTGCCCATGCTTTCTTGAACCACGATCCTCCTGATCTCAGCCACGCGAGAGCCACCAGCACCTACCTCCTACTTATTTCTTACCTTATTTGTTTGTCTGTTTATATATTGGTGGTACTCAGAGTTGAGCTCAGGGCCTTGTGCTGGCCAGGCAGGCGTTATGCCATTTGAGCCAGTCCTCCAGCCCTTTCTGTGTGGCTGTTTTTGAGATGGGGTCTCACTTTATGCCCAGCTTGGCCTGGACCACGATCCTCCTATTTGTGCTTCCTGGTGTAGATGGGATTATAGGCATGTACCATGGTACCCCACCATTGGTTGAAATGGGGTCTTGTGAACTTTTGCCCAGGCTGACATTTAACCATGATCCTCCCAATCTCTGCCTCCTGAGTAGCTAGGATTTTAAAAGTCTTAATGTAACATTTAACCCACCTTCCCTCAGAATACCTTAATTCATTATCCCCCAACTTTATTGCTTTTTTAATCAGTATTTTACATCTGCC